TGTTGATACAAAAGGGCCGAGATGATCTCTTCCTGGAATTTTAGGAAGGATCCACTTTGTCAAGTTGCTTTGTAAAGCACAAAAGCATTATACAGAGTCAATTGAAATAAATAAACATACACTTTTTTGTACCAGTGTCTGGCTTTTCAGGAAACTAAGTACGGCTTCATCATCTGGTCATTGAAGTCCACCCCTCCCATCTTAAGGTTATAGTCAAGGACACAGAGGGGCTTCTCAACAACATCAGCTGCCGTGGCAATTTGGATGATCTTGTCTGAGTGAATGGAAGACAGGACGAAAATATCCCATTTGTCCTTCCACAATTCCTCATTTCTCATGCAGGCTTTTTCCCCCTTTCTAAGACGTGTTTTTACAAGTCGTTGGGGGAAGCCCTGGCAATTAGGTCGTACGGTACCACATGCGCCAATTCCAAAATTGTACAAATGTCTAAGTAGTGGCAGGCTTGAATAAATATTGTTCACGTATAAGTGGTACCCTATATGGAAAAAGGGTGACACCAAGTCCAAAACTATCTTGCCACTGCTCCCCATGTAGTCTGGGCATCCAGGGGGCTTCATGTGACTATCTTTTCCCTCGTAAATCCAAAACATATATGTATAGCCGGTTGCTCTCTCACAGGTCTTATACGTCTTGACCCCATATCTGGTACGCTTGCTGGGGAGAAATTGTTTGAATGAAATTCGGCCAGAAAAATTAATGAGGGACTCATCAACGCAGATGTTTTCCTGGGGAGTATAGACATCTGCAAATGTTTGGTTAAGGTGATTTATGAGGGGTCAAATTTTGTGGATCTGGTCAAATTCAAGGTCACCCCAAGGATGACAGAGTGTGTTGTCATTGAAATGTATAAAATGCATTATACTCTCATATCTATGCCTGGACATGGCAGCAGAAAACACAGGCATATGATGAATAGGGTCTGTGGACAAATACAACCGCAATTCATTTTTTTAGTAATGCCCATGTTGAGGTTAGGCCCAAAAAAACTTTAAATTCGGAAACTGTAATGGGTTTCCATGCGAATGGTCTGGCAAGGTTTGAATTTGGGTTGGCGGCGATAAATTGTTGTGCATATAAATTGCTTTGATCCACAATCAATGCATACAGATCTTCTGTGAAAAACAGCTCCAAAAAATCAAGAGGAGTATTTAAATTTGCTGTTTCCACCTGAATTCTGGGTTGGGCAGTGAAATGGGGAAGTAAGGGTACTGCAGAATTTGTGGGCTGCCAATCAGGATTTGCAAGTACATCTGGAAGGATACTAGGGGCTCTACGGGCCTGTGTGCGAATTCTTTATGGCTGCGGGACACTACTTGTGCTCGCCACCGTACCAGCTTGTACTGTACTTATGGGACTCGCCACGTCACCAAGTCATACTGCATTACTGGTATGTGAAAGACCAGGATGTACTAGGCTGCTGGTGCTTGCCAGTTCACCAAAAGGTAGAGCGACACTAGTACTGGCACTCTTCCCCTGCACTCTCACCTGACATGCTCAGAATCCTGTAGGCCTCTTCACTAGAGTACCTTTCGTTGGACATTTTGGCCACTAAATTTAAAGGTACCTAGTGCGATTCACGGGAAAAAGAGCACCCGGCTGTTAGAGACTGCTCAAACCGCTACAAAAAATTTACCAGCACTGACAGCGATAAAGCCTGATTCTGTGAACACTGCGGTTTTGTGTGCTACGTATCAAGTGACAGTGACCTACTGACACTGCACTTGCTGGGGGGAGAAGGGGAATGGGTAAGCGTAGGAGCTAATCGCAGGTGCTGGCAGGTGCCGGGGCTGATCCCACTAACGCTGCGTTTTTGGGGACGCTATACTAATGTGAACGCTGGTATAGTGCTGATCTGATTAAAGATATTGATCCGTTCAGACACTATACCAGCAATGAAGGTTTATTGTGTATGTGAGTGTGTTTGTGGCAATCAAGGGGTTAAATGTGATTACTGGTGTACTGACAGCAATCTGCCACTATCTGGGAGGGGCACTAACTGACGATAATGCTATCTGAAGTCAGTGGGCAGTGAAGGGTTTAACTGGGGGGGGGGGGTGATCAAGGAGTTAAATGTGTCCTAAAGTGTTTTAAACTGTAAATATGTGCTGCTTTTTCTGACTGTGTGTTGATTCTTCTCTCTCTGGGGCGGAATGTGCCCAGAGATAAGATGTCATCATTTCCTGTACCTGTGTAACTGTAAACACAGGTACAGGAGGATCCCTGATAGAACAGGGATTGATCATCCAAATTAGGCCGACCATCACTGGCCCAAATTGAATAATTGATCCCTCGGGGATCAAATCGCAGCGTCGGCGGGAGCGAGAATCACGTATATATATACGTGATTTGGCACACCCGTGCCGCCCTGTAGCATTATTTCTGCTATAGGGTGGTCGGGAAGCTGTTAATATAGGAAGGTTCTGCACAGAGGTAAACTTTCACACTGAATAGCTATAAAAATAACTATACATATCTGGAAGAAATACACAAAGCACACAAAGAGTCAAGTAAGAATACATATGAGTATTGTATTGTGACAGTATATGCATATCCTGGACATAAGCTTCAAAGCCCAACACCAGTCATCTGTTAAAGTGTTACTTAATCCAGTACCCTGCATTCACTATATCTGGTCTCCCACAGTACAAAAAATTTGGAAATGCAATTATTTTAGTAAATATAAACTGCTAAATACCTTTTCTCATCAGCGGTCAGAGCAGTCTTGTGACTTCTATCAGTATACGGCTGATCACTGGTTAATCTTATAGGAGGAGTTTTCATTTTTCTCTGACTGTCCTATGAGGCTGCAGGTCCCCTGACACTCTGTCTGGACAGTGCTAATTGGCCCTTTGCAGATCACTTGCACCCTCCCCCCCAAAGAAAAAAAAAAAAACTCTCTAGCAATACACTCCAAATTGAGCATATGCAGAGTGCCCCCTGGGGCTCTGTACTATCAGCAGATGGATTGAGGACTGTACAGTATATACAGACTCAGGGCTTAAAATTTCAAGTCCTGAGCTACTAGCCAGGCCTTAAGAGTTACTCACCACCAACAACACACACACAAACACAGACACTTGTACACACACGCAGACATGTACATACACACACACACACACACACACACACACACACACACACACACATAGAAACATGTACACACATGCACAGAGACACATGTACACACACATATACAGACACATGTATACACACACAGGCATGTACAGAAACACATATATACATATATATGTACTGTACATACACAGAAATACACACGCACAGACACATGTACATACACAAGTACAGTTGCAAGAAAAAGTATGTGAACCCCTTGGGATTACGTGGAGTTTTGCATGAATTGGGCATAAAATGTGCTCTGAACGTCATCTAAGTCACAATAGAAGAACACAGTTTGCTGAACATAATACTACACAAACATTAGATGTTGCCATGGTTTAATTGCACATAACACGTAAACATTCACAGTGCAGGGAGGAAAAAGTATGTGAACCTTTGGACTTAATAACTGGTTGACCCTCCTTTGGCAGCAATAACCTCAACCAAACATTTCCTGTAGTTGCAGATCAGACCTCCACAACGATCTGGAGTAATTTTGGACCACTCCTCTTCACAAAACTATTTCAGTGTAGCAATATTCTTGGGATGTCTGGTGTGAATCGCTCTCTTAAGGTCATGCCACAGCATTTCAATTGGGTTGAGGTCAGGACTCTGACTGGGCCACTCCAGAAGGCGTATTCTGTGCTGTTGCAGCCATTGTTTTGTTGAATTACTTGTATGCTTTGGGTCATTGTCCTGTTGCATCACCCATCCTCTGCGGAGCTTCAGTTGGCGGACAGATGGTCGTACGTTTTCCTGCAAAATGTCTTGATAAACTCTGGAATTCATTTTCCCATCAATGACAACAATCCGTCCAGGCCCTGAGGCAGCAAAGCAGCCCCAAACCATGATGCTCCCTCCGCCATGTTTTACAGTGGGGATGAGGTTTTGATGTTGGTGTGCTGTGCCTTTTTTTCTCCACACATAGTGTTGTGTGTTCTTCCCAAACAACTCAATCTTGGTTTCATCTGTCCACAGTATATTTTGCCAGTAGTGCTGTGGAACATCCAGGTGCTCTTTTGCAAACTTCAAACGTGCTGCAATATTCTTTTTGGACAGCATTGGCTTCCTCCATGGTGTCCTCCCATGTACTCCATTCTTGTTTAATGTTTTCCTTATTGTAGATGTGTCAACAACAAAAATGTTAGCATGTGCCAAAGATTTCTGTAGGTCTTTAGCTGACACTCTGGGATTCTTCTTTACCTCATGCAGCATTCTGCGCTGTGCTCTTGCAGTTATTTTTACAGGACGACCACGCCTAGGGAGAGTAGCAACAGTGCTAAACTTTCTCCATTTGTGGACAGTCTGTCTTACCGTGGACACATGAACATCAAGGCTTTTGGAGATACTTTTGTAACCCTTTCCAGCTTCATGCAAGTCAACAATTCTTGATCGTAGGTCTTCTGAGAGCTCTTTTCTGCGAGGCATGGTTCACATCAGACAGTGCTTCTTGAAACCAGTAAACCCAAAACAGGTGTGTGTTTTTTAAGGGCAGGACAGCTGTCAGCAACACATCCAATATCATCACACTGATTGCAGTCAAGGTTGGCTCACTCCTGGCTCCAATTAGCTCTGGGAGAAGTCATTAAGCTAGGGCCTCACATACTTTTTCCTCCCTGCACTGTGAATGTTTACGTGTTATGTGCAATTAAACCATGGCAACATCTAATGTTTGTGTTGTATTATGTTCAGCAGACTGTGTTCTTCTATTGTTGTGACTTAGATGACATTTTGAGCACATTTTATGCCCAATTCATGCAAAACTCCACGTAATCCCAAGGGGTTCACATACTTTTTCTTGCAACTGTACATACATACACAGACATGTACATACATACACAGACACATGTACACACAGACACATGTACATGCACACAGACACATATAGACACACACACATGTACATACACGCAGACACATGTACAGATACACACATGTACATACACGCAGACACATGTACAGATACACACATGTACATACACACATACAGGCACGCACGCACGCTGTTAAGTGCTCTCTCCTCTCCCCAGAAGCCACCACTTGCTGACATAGAGGATCATGTGACACACACACCACACACACACACACACCTATAAAAAGTTGCAGTACTTAGTTTTTCACTCACAGAGCCGGGTACTGCACTCTAGGGGGAGGCAGAGAGCACAGCACACACTCCTTCCTTTGCTTTCACTGTGCTCAGCTATTGAGCGGTCTGACGGCTCCCAGTGCCAATAACAGATCCGGCCTGAGCTCTGAGCTTGCTCAGCAAGATGGCCCTGGGGGACACACTCACCCCCACCATAATTTCCAGAATTCCTGATGTAGTTGGAAAAAAATTACTAAAATAAGTGGTAGCAGGAATAATGGACGGTCCTTTTGAGTCACCTACTTTCAAAGACTTTCATATCTCCCTGTTAGGTGTAGTCCCCAAAAAAGAGCCAAACTCATTTCGGCTTATTCATCATTTGCCCTTTCCTTTTGTTAATTCTCTGAATGACCAAATAAGCTCGGATTTGTCTTCTGTCTCTTATATTTCTCTTGATTCTGCTATTGAAAAGCTTTGCATTCTTGGGCCTCATGCTTTGATGGCAAAAGCAGATATCAAATCCGCATTCAGATTGATCCATCCTAACTCCAAGTGTTTCAGCTCTTTAAGGATTTATTTTGCTAATCAATTATATTTTGTCAAATGCTTGCTGATGGGTTGTTCCATCTCTTGTTTTTATTTTGAATAATTTTCATCTTTCTTAGAATGGGTAGCAATTTCAGTATCCAATTCTCAATTTACTATTCATTACCTAGACGGTTTCTTGTTTATGGGTTTGGTGAATTTGTCCATGTGCGGTACCCTGTTGAATACATTTTTTGATCATTGTGATCATTTTGGTAACCCTTTAGATTCCGAGAAGACGGTTTTTCCAACTGCCTGTATTGAATTCTTGGGTATTACTCTGGATACGGTAAAAATAGGAATTTCAGAAGAAAAGATATATCAGTTACCTCAGTTTCCTTTATCCTTTCAGCAAACAAAGGTGATCACTTTGAAGGAAATGCAAAATGTGCTAGGTCAATTAGCTTTTGCTACAAGAGTCCTTCCTATGGGAAGGGTTTTTTTCCCGTAGGCTTTATGCGGTATTTCAGGTTTTAAAAATCTAACTGCGCATTATTATTATTATTATTATTATCATACAGGATTTATACAGCACCAATAGTTTGCTCAGCGCTTTACAGTATAAAGGGGGACAATACAGCAACAATACAGTTCAATACAAGAGGGATAGGAGGGCCCTGCTCCTTGGAGCTTACAATCTAGGAGATATAAGAGTAACTGCCGCACTTAAAGAAGATATTCTGGTTTGGTTAAAATTTTTAGAACAATTTAATGGCAAGACTTTATGGCAGCAGAACTTTGTTCTGGATCGAGATTTGTTTCTGTATACTGACGTGGCGGAATCTATTGGTTTCGCAGCAATTTGGAGGAACCATTGGTGCGCGTCTAGATGTCAACCTAGATGGATTGCTAATGGTTTCTGCAAGAACATAGTATTTCTGGAATTATTTCCTATAATAGTCACTTTAGAGATTTGGGGCAAACAATTCTCCCACAGGAGAATTTTAGTTAGTACTGACAATCGAGGAGTATTGTTTGCTATTAACTGTGTTTCATCCAAATCACCTCAGGTTGTGGCTTGTTTGCTTCACCTGGTTTTTCTGTGTATAAGTTGGAATATTTGGATAAAGGCTAAGTATATACAGTGCCAGGTAAGATTTATGTTATAACTGATGCTCTTTCTCGTCTACAGATTCAGCGTTTTTTTCATTCTGATGCCAGAAGCAGATCATTCGGGTGTTGCTTGCCAGCAGCAGTTATGGGACCTGATTTAATTTTTGAAAATATTTTCTGCGTTCTGTGGCATTTTCTACTTGGAAGAATTACTCCTCTGCCTGGTTACTGTGGCTGTCCTTCTTATCCTCACATCAAATTGACCTTTCAGGTTATTTCGAGGAGATAGTTTTGTTTTTTCTAAGCTCTTTAATGTCCAAAAAGTACTCCTGGTCCCATATTAACAAAGTATTATCGGGGTCTCATTTTCTTTTCTGTACGGCAAGCTCTTAAAGGCTACAAAAAAGGCACTTTAGTAAAAGATAATAGAAGCCCTTTTACACCGGCTGTATTATGACGGTTATATTCAGTGACTAATTTATTATGCTCTTGAGTATGAGGCTATTCTATTTAGGGCGTTTTTTTCTATTGCCTTTTTTGCAGCTTTTTGGATATCAGAAATGTAACCAGTATCTAAAATTAGAGGATTGGGCATATTAGTTTCCAACTTAATTATTACAGCAGATAACCTAAGACTTTTTCTTCCATGTTCTAAAACCAATCAGTTTGGTTCTGGTAACTGGATTTATCTAAGCACTTGTGTAGATGCGGGTATCTGTCCTATTAGATTTTTACAAGCTAATATGGCAATAAGACCAAATATCAACTCAATTCTTTTTTTATACATAAAGATGGTTCTTCGTTAACTAATTATCAATTCTCCACTGTCTTGAAGAAATTCTTGTCACATCTCAATTTGCATCACTCCCATATACTGTAACATCTCATTCCTTTCGGATTGGGGCAGCTACTGAGGCTGCCTGAATTGGTTTGGAAGCTAGCTGCATTAAGAAAATCGGTAGATGGCGTTCTGACTCTTATAAATTATATATTAGACCTGATTCTTTTATTTAATTTATTACAGGTAATCATCAGGTTGTATGGATTCTGGGCCATTCTTACATTTTCTGGGCACAAAAAAAAGCTCCTGATCTCGTTTACTATGAGAACCTTGGTCTGGACCCAAACTCCTTTTGCATTTATTGGCATAGGTGTAGGGGCAGGGGCGGACTGACCATTTGGAAACTCGGGCACTGCCCGAGAGCCCAGGGTCAGTAGGGGGCCCCATGAGATGCACCTGGTACCTTTTTCATAGGCTTTTTTAAGTTTGGGCAAGGACACAGGGGTCCCATGATCCCCTATTGCCCGGGGGCCCCATGAGTTGTCAGTCGGCTCCTGTGTAGGGGTATGTTGTGGGAGGACCTGGTTTTCAAGTTAGTAAGGCTTTATGCTTTTTGGCCTTCTCCAGACATTCTGATAACTTACTTGGGATGTAATGATAATAAAACTTTTTATCTTATTTCTAATATGAAAACTACTTTTCTTTTTCAAGTTGGCATCACCTAACACTGTTTTAGTATTTTCCAAACTAATTCCTCAGTTGAGATGGTTAGATTCTGTTTAAGCCTATTCAAAAAGGTCAGAAAACGCATTAATAAAGTGGTGGAGAAGTTTCTGGTGCCTGATTTGGGTATTTCATTTTGCCACTATGACTTTGAGGATGTTTATCAAGGTATGTATCGTCATGATGGCATTCACTTGTCTGATATAGACCTTGACCTTTTTAATCTTAATCTGCAAACATGTATTGAGTTGACTGCAGTTTGGGTGGTTGGTGACAGGAAGGTTGTTTTTAACAAGTAAGAAGATTATTTATATTAATAATTTGTCAGTTCAAATCATAGTGGCTGGGCTGAGTGGTTAATACATTCAAATTATTTATTGAATAAAGTTATGGTGGTGTGATAAATGTATTATTGTTATATTTTAAAACCAATAAACCAGGCTGTGGCCTATATTTATCCAAATACAGTGTTGTCTTTGTGGTATTCTTTTATATTTGCATTAAATGTTTGTAGATTAGCATGCTGCCTGTGGTCCCATGACAGGAAAGGGGGGTTAACCCATTATTGGCCCCCCCTTTACTCATGGAACCACAGCAGCAGCAGAAGAACCCCTATTTATATAGATTTTAATGGGGAGAATATTATTGACTATTGGAGGCCACATGTAAGGGAACCTTCTGGAATCTTGGGGGGCTGAAGCATGATTGGTTACCCCCAGAAGATCTTGGAGTGCCCTATTTAAGGGGGCTGCCAGAAGGGTTCCATGCAGGGGCAGACTGACCATTTTGAAACTCGGGCACTGCCCGAGGGCCCAGGGTCAGTAAGGGGCCCCATGAGATGCCCCTGGTACCTTTTTCATAGGCTTTTTTGAGTTTGGGCAAGGACACAGGGGCCCCATGATCCCCTATTGCCCAGGGGCCCCATGAGTTGTCAGGCTCCTCCCAGTCGCCAGAGAGACAGCGGTGAGAGGAGCTCCCTTACCCCCCTCCCCCAGTCGTGGCCGGTTTATGTGGTAGGTCTCTTTGTTGTAAATCAAAGGGGACATGCAAGAAGATTATTTATATTAATGATTTGTCAGCTCGAGTCGTAGTGGCTGGGCTGAGTGGTTAATACATTCATATTATTTATTGAATAAAGTTATGGTATGATATTGTTTTATTGTTATGATGTTATAAAATGAATAAACCAGGCAGTGGCCTATATTTATCCAAATACAGTGTTGTCTTTGTGGTATTCTTTTATATTTTCATTACATGTTTGTAGATTAGCATGCTGCCTGCGATCCCATGGTAGGGACCATTGGTGGTATGGTGTCCTCAGGTGCATTCCTATTAACAAAGGTATAACTGGAATGTGGAGGTAGTGCACTGCGGATAAAGTGTCTTGTCTCCGAGCCAGTGTGTTGCATCTGGAGGCCTATTATGGTTAAGGTTCTGCAGGAAATAATGGAATGTGTTTTGTGCCTTCCAAAACCAACAGGCTTATCTGTTATCAGATTCTGTTTTAAGGAATGTTTTGTGTTAATTTAGGTTGAATTGTTAATAAAAGGCTGCGTTGGCCATTTTACTCCACTTATGGTCTGGTTTTCTTTATTTGCAAAATGAAAAGGTGGGGGGGGTGCTGAGTTTTGGGACTATGGCCTAGCAGTCATCTGCTAGAGTTTGGGGGTTCATCTATTCTTCCCTGCATGACATCAGTTCCAGTGTGCTGTGGCACCGCACGTGACAGACCATTTTCACATCCAGAGGAACGGTCCCCCGCACAGCCTGACAATTGGATCCTTGTTCATTAGGCCGTCAAGATGTTCCATCAGAACCACAGAGTCTGGTAAATTTATACCGCCTACAGTGCATACTTTTGATGTTAATATTGTTTTTAAAGCATTGGAATAAACTCTATGGAAACCTATGGGACCATTATAGTGTGACTTTCCTATAGTACATTTCGGATGGATTATCTGTTTGGATTTTCTGTTTGGACACCACTATTTCCTATGCCTTTGAGCACTCTGTTTTTTCTGAATGTATATG